TGACTGTGAATCAGTTTATAGGTCTCTTTTTTTTCTCTTAAAATTTTAAGAAAAAGAAGTAAAAGAAAGTTAGTAAAATAGTATATAACTCTTTCTTTGATGTTTCTGTATTGCTTGTTATATATGTATTGTAAATGTTTGGTAGCTTGATTTAAAGAATATGTTGTTTTTTCTTGTATGTTTGAACTGGTTTACTTTTTCCAAGAAAATTACTAAAAAAGAAAATTTTTAAAAAAAATGAGGATTGGTGAAAAGAGTTTTAAAAAGATTATTAAGAAGATTGACTCTGTTTACTATAAATAGTAATTATAGATAGGATATAAATAAAAAAGAAATCAATCATTTTCTTTCTATTTATATTTTCTTTATAATTATTTTTTTTATGTTACATATACATCTGAACTGATATATTATATAATTTATTATTTTTATTTTGTATTTTTATTATATTTGTTTATACTGTATATTGAAAATATATCTAATTATAAATACTTTTTTGTTCTTAATAAAGATAACTTTTAATTGTTTTCAATTAACAATACTTGTTTACTAACTTTAATACAAATATTTTGAAGTAAGTTTTTTATAATTATTGCTTATGATGAGTTTATTAGAATTGATAAAAATGTTTAATTATAATATATATTATGCTGCTTAAGTAAAAATGTAATCATGCTTTTAATTAATTAATAAACTATAACCTGCCTAATTATAGATATTACAAAAATAAATAGCAAAAAAATTTTATAATATTTCTAAAATTTTGGCATATTAATTATAAAAAAAATATAGTAGATATTAATAATTTCAAAAAAATAAAACAAAAACTTATAAAAACTTAGTAAGTTAAAAATTTAATTATTAAAAATTATTTTTATAATTTTATATTTTTAGATATGAATTAATTTTAATAATATAAAAATATTTTGCTAATATATATAAATTTCAATATTTATTTTTTAAGACACTGTTAGCTGATAATAAAAAAAATTAAAGGAAAATGAATATATAAAAAAATAAATTTGATGTTTTCTATGTAATCGAGGCTGCTTCTTGTCTATTTATTGTGATAAAAAAAATAAAAGAGATTATTGTTTGTAACAATCTTTTATAAAACTTGTAAAAAAAAATAGTTATAACAATTAAAAAATAAAAAAAAAAGGAACTGAAAAAAATATGTAATGTATTAGCAAGGCAGTTGAAACAAGATTCACATGCTTTATAAGTACTTGAGAAATTGTTGAAAAAATAAAAGCAGAAATGCATTCCAGTAATTTAATTTAAAGAAGAATAATCATGAATGGCAATAACGTTAAATAAAAAAAATTGTTATTAAAAACATGCTATAAAAACATGCTAAAAAAATAAAAAAAAAAAAGTTTAAATCGAGTATAAAAAAAATAAATTGATCGAATATTTGGAACCTATAAACAAGGAGAGGGATAGATTTCATTGAAAAAGTAATAATAATCGCCTGTCGAGATCGAGATAAAAGCGGATGAAAAAAACAAACTGAGATTGAAACAGATCTTTAGATCAGGTTATTGGGTAATTTAATTATGAATTTTTCAATAGTGCACAAATTAATTTTGAAAATTTCATATACAGTATAATGTGAAATGCTCGTGTAACTAGTCTCTTGTATTGTATGACTGAATTACTTTACGTTACAAAAATTATTAACGATGCTAGTGAGGCTAACTTCATGGAGATGTGACTGTTGAGCTCTTTTCTAATAATCAATCTGATCTAGATAAAGGAGTAGACTCATGTTTACAATCAAAATATTATGTAATGATAATAGAAGTTCAACAAATTTTGTTAAGGTGGCAGAATCTGACTGTTGTAAGGGCACCTTGGCTTCAAGGATATGATAGTATCTGTGAATATCTGCATTATCTCTCATTAAAACATTTAACCGCATTGTTTGACCAGCAACCTGAACCCCCACAATACCAAATTCCTCTTTTTTGGGCTTACAGCTCTTATGTACATTATACATCCCATCGTTAGCCTCTCGCAAAAGCTTTATATCATCATATTGCTCTTCTTGTTTCGTGCAAATTAGGCGTGAACATTCAATGTATAAAAGCTCGTAATTTCTCTCTCTGTGTTCCACGACAAACGTAATATCTGGTTTTCGGCCACTTCGTCCATCCCCCTCTGATCAGCACTAGAATCACCTTGTTCTTCGAAACTGCTGATAAGTGTAGATTTACCGAAAGGAAGATCTTGCAATGTTGCTTGGATGAAAGGTAGAATCACGTTCGAAACGTAAGCACCTTCATTCAATGAATTAGCAAACTCGGACCCAAATGCTCGATTGTTCCAAATGCCATTTCTATAACAAAGATTTATAATTAAATATCCCCCTTTTCACATACAGTATGTTATTAATATCAATGAAATAAATAGACTTTTTATATGTACTTACACAGTATTCAAGATCCTATCAGTAACAATCGCAAGTTTATCCTCAGATTCTTTCCAAGTATTGTTATGTAATAATTTTTGTGATGATTCTGTTGTATGATTTTCAGTAAAGGTTGAAATGGATTCATCACAATTTTTTGAGAGACTGATGGAAAAGATGATATCATTCGATTTTCTAGTTTCATAAAAGAATAATACAAATGTTTCGAGAGTTGTTTAATTATATTGGAATCGTCACTGATAACTTGACTTGCTAAAGGCTTCTTCCAAGACAATTCTTCAGTATATATACTGTATATTATGTACACCAGAAAACAAATGTTGATAAAGTGGCGTTGTGATTTTCTTGAGCTTTCCTTTCAATACTTTTATATTGTTAATAATTTGATTCGAACTAAGAGCTATTTCTTTAGTGATTTTAACTGTGCCGAGATACATATAGTTTTATAGGAAATGTCGCACTAATGCAGGTATAAAAAAAAAATCATCAGCATACGTATAATATAAATTCATTCTTAACTATCTCGTCAGATAGAATAAGACCAATGCATGCGCCATCAGAATATAGATATCTTTATGTGGCCATCACGCAGATAAAACCATATATAGGTCTACAGCTCAAATACTCCTCACGCAGTCGAGGAAACTATCCTGCAGGCGAACTAACTCACGCAGTCAAGGAAACAATCCTGTAGGCGGACTAACTCATACAATCGAGGAAACTATTCTCGGACTATGAAGTACTCGAACTGTTTTCTCAGTGATTACTACCTGCATTTCATTATTCATTTAAAAATTATCATCTTACCTTTGAAAAAATTTCGAGAAGAGCTATATTCCGAGAAGAACCTTTTTCTCAAAAGGTTTTTTCAAGAGTCTTCTTCTATTACTTGATAAATAACAGAAACGGCAGTAATATGCTCTTCGGTGGTGTTAATTAAAAAGTTGGAGTTTAGTACAAATGTTAGTGGCGGTCATATTTATAGGAAAAAATAAAGCAAAATACAGTATATCGTGCTTCGTCGTCTTATATCGGGTGTGGGAAAATGGTTTATATATATTATGTCATAAAAATTTATGGAACATAAATCTATTTTATGATAAGAACAAATGACAATAAGACAATAAAGACAAATAGCCCATTGATTCCTATCAGCTCCGTTATCAGAAATTATGTCATGGGGGTTTGAGACCTTTGCAATTCCCAGATCATCGATTTCGTTGCGATTGTCAAGCTAAAATGGTTTCATAAGCATCTATGAAGAAATACTATACATATTCATGGGCCCTGACATTTAGTTACTCATGTCAATGCTTTCTATGGAGGCTGAAATGGCTGAAATATAACAGGTTTGTTTTATGATTATTAAGAACAAGGCTATCAATTAGATCAAATAATTGTTTGAATAGCCTTAGCCTTAGAAATATTATCTCATTGGGTGCAATGATTAATAAATACTTTGGCATGGTGTGGGAAAGAGTCATTTTGAAAAATTGAATTATATACTGTATACAAGTACTTATCTTAAAAATGAGTCTTCTACTGTAGATCCAAACATGAATGATGAAATAACTCCCTTGGTGGAAGGAGCCTCAAGAATCTATATATAGTATTCATATAAATCTTGACGATACTATTGAAACCTTTATGGATAGGATTAGAATAAAATTCGTTTGTATGGAAGTCAGAGATCTTATAATTTCGAAGGTAGAAATCCCCAATGAAAGTACAAATGACTTTTTGGACCCTGAATTAAAAATAGACTCGAAGGATATATTAGAAATTATTGGTGAGAACAACCTCCCGTAAACTGTGCCCATGTCATTATAGATTCGCCATATTTAAGCTTGAAAGAACTCACAATGAGTATGTGTGTATAGTAATAGATATTTTATGCTGAAGATTCTTATACTATTTATTTAATATTTAGATACAGAGGCTCTTTCTGTGAGCAAAGTTTTACATTAAGGCAAGGTTAAATTGTTCACTTTAAAAGAATGCATCCGGAAAAATTAATTAAATAGTGGAGTTAGTGTCAGGGATACGTAGATTTTTTAATTTGTATTTATGTATCTACCTTACAACGGACAATGTTTTTCATTTCGAAATAATAAAGCAAGCGATTTCAAAAATTCATAATGCATATGCATGATTTTAGTAACTTCGAATCAAATCAATTCTTATCTCCTGATAGTTTAGTAACTTTTCATATACTGTAAATATAAAATCACTGATCACCCAAAAGCAGATGCGATAAAAAATTTTCATTCTTCACTTATCTAGCTTTTATTAGCGAGATATTTTCTACGTATAAAAGTAACATGTCTTCACACGCTTCTTCACCAGTTTCCACATCCTCTACTTTAACAGAAGAAAGATCAATCCGAATGATGGCGGACATAATTAGAAAGTTTAAGATGGAAGAGCTTATCAAAGACAAGAAGACTTGAGCCTGATTTCACCATCCTTCGCAAATGAAAGATTGCTGGACTTTCATTTCTTGAGATGACTAAGATTTCCATGAATGTGGGTTTGAAGTAGAACCAGTTATAACACTTGCGAAGTTTGTTGGAGCTATCAGAGCAAAAGATACGAAGCATCTCATCTTACAAAACTCTGGATAAACTAAAAGACATTTTCCACAAGTATAAGATCAATGGAGAGGATATTACGAGCATCAAACAATTCAATCCAGGTAATCCAGGTATGTGATCCTCAGTTTTATTTTTCTTGGTATTTTTCGAAAAAATTTTTGGCAGAAATCGAACATCATAGATTATATATTAATATTTCTTCTTTGTTTTATAGTTTTTTAGGAAATCGATAATAATGATAAAGCATTCAAGCATTGTGTGGCAGATATCATATTAATCCTGACAAATATTGAGATGATGATGGATGTTAACGAGGCTATCCACTGTGAATTTATTTCATCCATTCTAAACGCATTACTTGCCATAAGTTCGAAGACTTACCAAAGGAGAAAAACTTTATTTATTACTGCAAAAAGATGTCTCTGTTGGAGTACATAACAATAAAATCAACAGTTTCAGATACAAATCGAATTCAATTTAAATAAAAACTAATCTGATCAAATTCAGATACGCATTAAAAAAAAATAATCTGATTGGATTCAGATCAGTTTTACTTGAAATCTGATTTGGTTCGTTATGATCACTAGTTATTTTGAGTTTCATGAATATGAATTAATAAGGGCTTGAAAATCGGAAATTTTTAATTTAACAATATTCCTAAAAGTTGTTTTCTTTGTTCTCATGATTTGTTGTACTTTTGCATATTCAAAAAGAATTATTTGATTACACAAGTATCCATATTAGTAATGATTTACAATATTATTTGATCCAGTAGTTCATCTAAGAAATATACAGTATATACTGTATATTAAAGTTATCTGATGGTTCTTGCTTTTTATAATATATTAAATGAATCTATATCAGATTAGAATTTATAATTTAAGTAGTTGTATACTGAAAAGATTAAAAGTTATATCTTCAGGAGTAATCTTCAATAAGTTATCCATAATTTTACTATATAAATGACTTACTGTATCTTAATTTTTTATATAATTTGAAAATATTTTTTGAAGTAGATTATTAAAAAAAAATTATTTTTTATATTTATTAAAACTTATTTTTTTAAAGTCTTGTAGCCAGGCTAGATCATTAGTTTATTAATCAATTGAAAATACAAGTTCATTTTCATTTAAGTAGCATAATACATACTACAACTAAACTATTATTTTAATTTAATTAACTCATCGTAAATATAAAAACCTCTAAGTTCAGTCTTGATAATAATATTTTACTCCATAGTGTCTTTGGATAAAAACTCTTCCAGTTCATTGTATTATTGTCAATAGGTTATCATTATCATATATCTAATCAAGTCATTGAAATATAGAAAACTACAAAAGGTTGAGTTAAAAAAAAAGAAGAAAGATATCTAAAAATGTTTAAGTAGATAACAAGAAAATAAAAAAATAAAAATTGAAAAAAATTTTCCAATTTCCTCCAAAAATCTGCTTCTCAAGATCTCTTCTTAATAAGAAATGCCCAATTGAAATATTCTTTCTTTTTTTGACCATTTGAAGGTCTTATCTATTCTTGATTTTGATTTTTTTTTTGTGTACTATCTGAAAAGACTTATTACATAGTAGAAGTCTTTACTTCTAGAACACACTTGATCTCAATCTTCTTTAGGCAATGATTTTTTATTCACCTATGGTAGAAAAGTGACTTATGATGAATCCCAAGTTCTCATATGACCCAATAGAAACTGAACCATGTTATTTCAGTATAATACCTTTTAACAGTTATATCTAATTAAAGAAATTTTACTGATATATATCTTCTATTATTCAAAAGATCAAATTCTCCAATAATTCTTTTGCCTTATAATGATAAAAGGATTTCAAAAGGTGTTAAAAATTCTCATTAATTATAATATTTTTCAAGAATATCTGAGGAAATGTATTCTCAACTGTAACCAAAAAGTTGGAACTTAGCATAAACTAGAAACTATTTGATCTTATCGCTTGATTGAAATAAAAAGGAAATCTTGATCTTGAACTTTGCTTGATTGGGATAATAGAAGAGAAAGACCTTAGCTTGAACAAATAGCCACTTTTTCATTACTTGAAAACTTATTGCTTGTATCTTATTGATCTTATAGAACTTGACTTAGATTAATCCAATTAAAGGAGTGAAAAAAATTAAAACATCAATTAACTTTTTTATTTACTAATAACAATATTAGAACACATAATATAATCAATAGAGATTTATTTATATTCTGTTATTAATATGTTTCATAGCAATCAATCAGATACCAAGTGATATTGTGCTACCAGAAATTCAAGATCAAACTAAAGTAAGCAAAATTCTC